GCAGCTGCTCACCTCTCAGGAAGTGGCCCTGATTAACAGTTAAAAAGGCATTTTATACACCTCCAGTCTACATCATCTTATTTTACATCATATATGTTAGCAGATGTGACATACATGGCTCCAGCCTTATCAAAATATTACATTTTTTTCTTAGCTGAAGGAAACCGCTCTCATTCCATTCCGAATCTTTGCAACGTACAAAATTAAGACTATAACTGTATATCTAGATAGAGGAATTGTCTCAATTAGATTAAAACATCAGTTCTGACGCGCAACAGGTAGCCTATACCAAGGTTTAATAAACTCACACATCTGCAATCATATATATAAATATATATATATTTTTTTTTTTTGAGTCGTTTTGTGTTATATTTTAAGTTTTAATCTTTAAAATGTTAAAGACAAAAAAAAAACATGTGGTTTTGGTTCCCTTCAGCAATGGACAATGTTTTTGTCACAGAATTTAGTTTTTGGGGTTTTTTTTGTGTGTGTGTTTGTGTAATTTTAATATGAATTTTCATTCAGACTAAAGTAATGAATTTGTTTCCATTGCTGTTTACTGATGGAAAGCCTTTTGAGGCGAACTGGGGAAACGGCGCCCCCTACTGTCAGTGAATACTGTGACCTCAGAAGACAGTTTTCTGAGGTTTTTTTTCCTTTTTTCGTTGTTTTTAAAATAAATTAAAACGTCTGATCCGTTTAGAGCTCAAACCATGTTAAACTTGATATTTTGTAGTTTAAACGTAAACTCTTTCTAAAACAACAAAAAAAAAAAACTTAGTTTAAAGAGAGCGGGTAGTGAGGACAAGAAATGGTCTAAAGTCTCCTTTTATCCTTCCTTACCTTTTTCTGTTCTTCCTTTCCTCTGTCCTACCTCCTTTACTTCGTGTGTTTCTGGTTTTTATGTTGAAACCTTTAGAAATATCTGCCTTGCATTTATAAAGAACATCAATGTTTTATCCATCAAAATTCTGGACGTGAAAAAAAATTGTGTGGAAGCTGGATGCTGCTGAGACCCCTCCCATGTACTGAGCTATTGCTGCACACCAAACACACCTTTAATGTCCTGTTGCTCTCTTTCAGCAGAATTCAACCTCAATGAAATTTGGTATATACGTTTTGTATACACTGTGTATACGAAATGACAATAAAAGTTGTCTAAGTCTAAATGATTTGAGAAGCAAAACAAGTTAAAGGAATTTAATCTTTCATTTAATTTGTAAATATTTAATTTCCCTTTCAAACTGATAAAGTTTTATTGAACTAAAATGAATTGACTGGACCTCCGGGTCCATGAATCCAGTCCAGCGTCTGTGGGTTCTGGTGCACAAACAACAGCCAACCTCAGCGTCTGTTATATTGGAGCCAGACCGTGTGGTGTTAATGCCTGCAGAGCTCAGGGTGGCTCTGGTCATAATTGCGTGCCAGATGACCTCCGATCCTGATTTAAAGGAGGCCAGTGTTTGTTTTGATTAAAGAGGCACAGAAGTGAAGCGTAAAAATGAAAAACTGGGCATTAGTTCATCGTTTGAAACATTAATGAAGCAAAGAGCCTCTGCAGACGGATCCCTATGCTAACAATGAGACCAATAAAATTAGTTTTAACCTGGTTAATTAGAAACTTCTGGCTGTTCCATCTAAAGGGGCTTCATCAGGGGTTTGTTTGCACACAAAGAACTTTATTAAAAATATTGTTGCACTGTTAAGAACAAACTCATCTGAAATTATTACTAATTCCTAAAAACAATCAACATTTTGACTCAAAGGCACACAGAATAGAAATGTGTTAATCTAGAAAAGGACAGAAAAACTGCTGAACTTTGTAATATTTGTTTACTGTTCGTATTTGAACAGTTCTTTAACACTAGATTAAAGAAACGACCATCGACTCCACATCGTAAACATTCAGTTGAAGCTTAATGACCGCGCTGTTCTGCACCATATCAGCCTCGGTTGGATTATGAAGGACTGACACTGCTGTGTCTGTACTGTTTCTGTCCGGCTGTGCGTCTCTAAACGCTCACCGTCGGATCTGATCCTTTCCTGACACCCTTCAGTCACAGGTTTTCCTTCTTCACGCTCGGGTCCATATTTTTGCAGCCGATTCCTTTGGAGGCTGTGGTAACGTCTCAGAGATGGAGGGTGACCAGTGGGTGTTTGGTCCATCTCTAGGCAACCGTGACAGCAGCACAAACAGAGCTGGTCAACAGGTTAACTGAATTTGGAGTTTCCTGCATTTTATCCTGTTAATCCTCGTTAGTTTTAGTGTTGTGTTTGTAAAAAAACGTGTTTCTGAAACTAAGGGACAAATTGCGTCTCCTATCAGGTTGGTTGGGGTCTTTATCCTGGAGGGATGTTTTGTCCGCTCTGGTCTGAGGACACCTGAAGAGTCTCCTTGGAGAGGGAGGGGGTCAGATGGTCGGATCTGTAAAAGTCCTCATCAGGTTCAGGGATATTTTCCCTCCACGTGTGAAACTAAAGTACGTTTTTTTTTGTTTTAAACGGAGGAAACATCTCCCACCTCAGCCCAGACGTTCTCCAGCTGAGCTTAACTCATTAGATTAGAGGTTTTATTGGTTGATTGCTGCTGCATCAGGTTACATCATCATCCAAACGGATTATTAAAGAGAAATAAAAACAATCAAATGAACCCAGACGGCGAAACACCAGCAGAGACTCGGCGTCGATGCGACTCCAGTCACCTGATGCCGTCACCGCTGGGATTAGATGGTTGGTTCCTCACAGCTTGCTGCTGAGCTGAGGAGGGGGGCGGGCGCTGGCCTGCCCTGGAAAACCGCCATCGAATGATGCGTTCAGGACCTCGTCCAGGTTCCCGGTCATCACGAAGTCCAGGTCGGCGCGGACGTTGGCCGGCAGCTCCTCCAGGTCCTTGGCGTTCCTCTTGGGGAGGATGACCCGCTTCACTCCGGCTCGGTGGGCTGCCAGAACCTTATCCTTGATCCCGCCCACCTACAGCGATTGGAAAAACAGGTCGTTTCAACAACAGAATGTTGAAACATCTGGACTGAAGTTCTTCCTCCGTGTGCGGAGGTGGAAACTGACCGGCAGAACCAGCCCCCTCAGCGTGATCTCTCCCGTCATGGCCACGTCCGATCGGACCAACCGGCCGCTGAACAGAGATGCCAGGCAGGTTACTATGGTGACGCCGGCGGAGGGGCCGTCCTTGGTAACGGCTCCTGCAGGGAAGTGGAGGTGGATGTCCGTCCCTTCCATCGGATCCGGACCTCCCACCACTATGGGGGACACAGAGACAGAGGATGAAGCCTGCCCTCCTCACTGAGACGCAGCAGCTTCGCTCCAAACGGACTCACGGTTAGTGAGCTGGTAGCGCTTAGCGTTCGCACGCAGCCAGCTGATGGCCAGATGAGCAGATTCCTTCATCACGTCGCCCAGCTGACCCGTCAGAGTCAGCTGACCCTCACCCTCCATCCGGCTGGCCTCCACGAACATGATCTCCCCGCCGAGCGGCGTCCAGGCGAGACCCAGAGCCACACCGGGTAGAGTGAGGCGTTCAGAGACCTGGAGACGGAGAGAACCGCATGATGGGGGGGTCAGGTAATTCTGAGATCCACCAAAGCTCAGCAGAAATGTTCCTGCTCACCTCCATGTCAAACAGCGGTGGCCCCAGGATGTCCTTCAGGGCCAGATGATCGATCACGATGGGCATCTCAGGCGGCGCCGACTTATCTGACGAAACACGCATCATCAGGCTACGAACTCAGAGGAACATGGCCGCTTTTAAAACATCCAACCTTAATATCAGAGAAAAAATCTAAAACAGTATTTAAAGCCCTGAAGGTCAAAGTTCATGATTCAACTTGGCCAAAGACCTGAAAGCCAGAACCACTTCTGACCGACAGGAACCAGCAGGATGATGATGAGGAAGCACCTTGTTTTATTCAACGGAAAAACGGCCAAACTGGTTTTAAAGTCGTAGGGAAATCCTATTTAAATGTCAAATCATTCTGGCTTAAACATGTATATAAATGCACTCTTTATCAGAAGGTATTGTCCCAAAAGTTAAAAAAAATTCTATTTAAAATAAAATCCCGTCTTATATT